CACGGACGGGGCGAGGGGCATGGGGCTGATGTGGGGGTGAGCTAAGCTAAACGTAGCCAGTGATCCGATATATAGCTAGCACCCTAAATCCGGCGCTGGCGAATTACGCCGAAGCCCCAACTGCCGCCAGACCTAACCGCCAGATCTGCGCACTCGACGCCCCGGGGCCAATTCTTACCCCTGCCCCTCCGCGCTTGGCCTCGCCTCGCCTTAACCGTTTGCGGAGCCGAGAGCACGCCCGACTGCGACTGGGGGGGACCGGAGGAGGGATCCAGGGGTGGGTATACATAGCGCCAGCCGGCGACGCGACTTGGACTCGGGACCATCGGCAGATTGAATGGAGGTGTTGGGGAGGGGGAGGGGCAGGAGGAGGAGGGGGAGGGGGCTCGTTCTGACAAGGCCCAGCCGGCCTGAAGCGCCCGCCCGTCCCATTCGCGACCCTTTTTCTTTTGTCGTATCGGAGGTATGACCCGAGCCTGTGCAGTACAGGGCTAGAGCAGGCCCCACACTGGGGCTGGGGCTGGCTGGCTGGCTGGCTGGAGCGCTTGCTGGACTGGCTGGCTGGCGGGCCGGGGCTGGGGCTGGGGCTGGGTGGTCTGGGACCTGGCCGGGGCGGGAGGACCCGCGCCGGTCGCAGGGCATCCGGCCCTGCCGCTCGTGGAGCCTGAAACGACAAGCCGGTTGGAGATACCCTATCTCGTCGCCGGGCAGCCGCCTCTCCCTCCCGCACGTGTCTCTGTACTCGGTCACCTCCACGGGAAGCGAGTCGAGCGAGCGCATCAGAGGGGGCGTCAAGGGCTTAGATCCGGTCACCCGACCCTGTTCCTGACACTCCCTTACCTGGGCTCCGAATTTCCTCGCTTAAAAAAATTCCCTCCGGCGGGGCTTGTACGTCTTCCTTAATTCGCAAAATTCCATCCGTCCGTGAATCCCTGCACTAACGACAATGTCGCCTATTCCTCTAACTACTCCGAGCCCCACCCGTACCCCTCCGTCTTTTCTTGTTCTGTGCTCTGTGGCGCCTTATAATATTATTTTATTCGGACATTTATGGAACGAATAGGGACCCCCTCCCCCCCACAGCCGAAGCCCAAGCCCGGGTAGATACTCTTCCTCGTCCTCGCGGACCAAGCCCAGACAAGGGCAGAGGGAGGCCCAGGGGGGCTCGGATCGAAGACTACTCTCTCTCTCTCCTAACGGAAGCAAGGAATGAGGCAGGGCGGAAAACCCACGTGTATGACGTTGCGACGACACTGGAAAGATATCTTTTCCTCTCGCGGGGGAGACCAAGCCCCCTCGAAAATCCGTTGGAGGGGGCTCGCAACGGAGCGAGCCGAGCAAAGGACAAACGAACGCTCCCGAACAAACCAAAACCAAAGTAGGACAAAGTTAACGAGATTTTTGAAATATGTCTGCCCCTCCCCCCGGATTCCTCCATAAAGTCCTAACTATATCCCCCAACCCCTTCCCCCTTCGGTCTCTTCAGCACAAATCATATTCTCGCCCCCGCCGGTTCCCCAGATTTTTCAACTCTTTTGTTTTGTCCCTCCGGTAGCAGCTCCCCCCTCCAGCCCCCCGAACGGCTGAAAGGAATTAAATCGAGCCGAGCCGCGCCTAACCGAACCGAACCTAGACCAACGGACCCGAACTAGGGCGAGATTCTTCCACGGACAAAAGCCGGACGAGGGCGGGCGAGCGGGATAAGAGAGGCGTCGTAGGACAAGGACCAAGTTACAGCACAGTACAGCAGCACTGTACAGCTCTGTAGCGACTCCGCGGTAGGTCTGGATCGGGAGCGGGCTGTTTCCAACTGTAGAGACGAGAGTTATGACCCGCTGACGAACAGGATTATCCACACATACTCAACCGGCACCTGATTACGTGGTTAAGCCAGAGGTTACCCGACTCGCGACACGTGCCTCCGGTTCAGCCGGTGTTGACATTGGGGACTGCGTGCTGATGGCGCAAGACACAGTAGCGAGCGCGAGAGAGGGAGGGAGGGACGGAGGCTTCGCTGCCCCCACTCGCCTTTCGCCGGTGCCTTCCTCCGGTGCCAACAGTGCCGAGGCGCTAAATTTGGGTCTTTGTCCAGAAGTCTCTCTCTTATTCCGCAAGTGACGTGGAAGTATCTCAATCTGCTAAACTCCTGCCGGGCTTTTTGGGGAGATATGCCCTGGTCATGATTCAAGCCCCTAGTCATGTCTGCGAATGGCAACCCCCGGTCTACGTACGATTCAGTTTCCCTACAGCGTACAATGTGTTCATACTCTTTCCATAAAGGGCAGTGACCTACCTCGCCTGGCAACTGTCCTTCCCAGTGAGGGATGTTTTCTGACCCGGTTGGACGAGGGCCAATGCGTGAACCACCCGATGTTCCCCGCTCTGCCCATTCGTATGGTGTGTATCTACACGTACGGGTCCCCGTACTGTCTCTCTAGACTCCGTAGTAATCTACTCCCTGTAGGGTCCCTCCTCGACTGTCGTCGCATACATGAAAAGCAAATGTCTGGAGGACATACATACCTCGTAATTAAGTATCTCATCCCCGGATAATCAAAATACCTTACCCCCTGTAGATAAGGTGTGTCGCATTTTCACTACAAATTGTCCATAAATAGTACCCTACCCCTATTGCAGTCAAAAGACTCGGATAAACTAGACCCATTGAATTTTAGATTTTAATATCCAAATGCTACAATCATTTCTATTTTTTAGAGACCTTTCTACACTTATACAAACATTTTTTGCTGCCCTAAAAATCATCCGGTTGACGTAAGTATTTATCGTTAGTTTCCAAAAACATTGAGTATTTTGCTTAGAACCATAAGGCGAGTGACCTTACGCGAGTAGAGTACGGTGCATGAAATTACTGGTATTCGGCGTACATTGGTTTAAATCTCGTCGTATATGCTACCCGCCTATCCATTTAACGCCCTGCTACGATCCTGTATAATAATTGTATACGGGAAGTACCGTAGGCTTTGAGAAATGAATACTCTAACTCGGGATGGGGGCTATGGACGTAGAGGGGTTTCAACCTGATCTGACTCTTATCCCCAACTAACCGCAGGCAGGCAGCAGAGCATGATGTCTACGGAACTGGTATGTACGGATACAGATGTTCGAGAAACCGCAGGATATAACGAAGGTCGGAGAGAGCGCGCAAGAACCGGAGGACGGAGGGAGGTCAGGATCCAGGTCTGGGATCACGCTCGGGTTTGGAGGTTTTCCAAGACGACAGACGGAGTTCTGTTTGGCGGTGACGTACGTGCCCGATCGGGGTTGCGGAAGCAAGAGACCGTCGCACTCGCTTCCCCTTCACGGGGAGGCCGGCGGTTCTTCGTTCTGCCGGAAGGGCGTCCGTTTTCTGGTCTCGGGGGTGAGGTTCTTGGTGCCCTGTCTTACATGGACGCTCTTACCGATAAAAAGATTCAAAGAATAAACAAAAAAGGCATCGCTTCCAACATGTTCAATAAGACCATCCTCGTGTATGTGATCATTCGTGGCCTTGACTCCTTTTGAAGCTTGGGGTTCTCTCTTGCGTCAAAATATTCTGCTTCAAAACGGACTTAAATATTATTTCAGCACATGTTTATCTACATTCGATTGGATTTTGTATCATTAATATATCTAGCTCGAAATCTTACTGGGAAGAAAGAATTCGAATTTTGGAAGCTCCCTTTTGGAGGCACGTAAGGGTTCGGGTGTCAATTACGGATGAATATTCGATTATTAATCTAATCAGCCCAGAAGGAAGGCACCTCATTGGCAGATCGGGGGCTCTTTCAAAGTGCCTCCGCCCCCTCTGAGAATCGGCCCTCGAATTGTCCTTTCTGCAACGTACCTCAGGATCCGAACGATGAAGGTCCTGCCGGACGGACGGAGTGGACCGTAGTCGGGATAACAGATTTATCTGGACGACTTACGGCCACCGTGTTACGACCAGTGCTACTACTGTGGTCAGCTAGTGCGCTGACGGAGGCCGCCTGCCTGCCTCGGGTCGGTCTCTCCGGTGGGTCAGATATCACCGCTCGGAATAGAACCCAGACAGACTTTCATCCCCATCCACAACATTTCCCATCACTCGATCACTGAATCACTCATGGCATCTCGCTCCATCATGTCGCCATCATCCATGATGGCCATGAGTCAACGGCTGGCTGGGCTGGAGGAGGGCAGTCGATAGACACGGCCGGCCGGCACCGGAGCTCGGCAGGGCAGTGGTAAATCTCCATCTCGGCGGGTAAAGGACCTTTTCCCCTTCTTACCTCGTTTCGTCTTTACAACCCCCCTCCCTTCTATATTTCAGAAGTGTCTAATAATAGGCATGGTGGTGGGGCTCCGTCATATGCATTAGTTTGCCTTTTCTTCTCTCCTCATCTTCCGGGCCGCCCTGTTATTTTATTACTTTTACTGCTTTGTTTAAGCCCCCAATGACGACGTTCTTTTGAATTTTCTCGAGTTCGTGTCCACGTCAGCCTGACGTCACTCGGCTACTGCACTGTTGGCAACTGGCCCATCTCACTCACTCATCTCATTAGCCCCGTCTCCTTTGGTCTAATATCATATTAGCAACCGGAGAGTGGACATAGTAAACTAACAAGAAGGATTGAAGATTCCTTCCAACAATCCGAGGAAGAAACCCCATGGGAAACAAGGGGCTAGGGTATTACTAGCACCTTGCTTGCGGTATTCCCCGGCATTTTCACCCTTTCCGTTCTCCAGTTTCTATCTTCTTTCCTTCTCTCGATCAATTTCCCTGAGAGATTTTATAATTGTGTTGAAATCACATTTCGTTTTATTGGATAAGGGGAGATGTTCGGGTTTGAGGCACAGCATAATATGCTACAAATCTACCTACCTTATCCGAAAAGTTTGGCGAACGAAAAGATTTTGGTAGAAACAATTATTACTGCGCGAAATTTCAGGATGGCAAGTCATAAGTATTATAACAAGTGCATAATTGGAAAGAAAGGAAAAGGATGGAACTGCATGCTAACCAAGTTGGTTGGTGGTTGGGTGGTTACTACACACTCGCCTCAGCTAGTCTGGTGAAGGAGTATGGAAAGCGGAACGAAGTACAGCAAAACATCTGCCTTTCTGCTTTCGAGACTCATGATTTGATATCCGGTGAGGTGGGTTTGAAACCCAGGTGCATCACTGCAACCCCACCCCAACCCACTTGAAGGTAAGATACTGTGTGCAGAGAGATGGAGAAAGAAAGACCCAAAGCAGACGACATTCCCTTTTATTTTACTCTATCTATTAATCTTTGGAATGATAGATGTATCGATCCATCGATCCGGCCATCAATGTAACTATCTATCTATCTCTGCCTCACCAATTGAGATCCTGGGTTCTTTTCTGCTATTCACTGGAGCTTCCAACTGTGGAAGAGGTTGAGTGAGTGCCTTTTCGGTAGGAACTCTCGATGATCAATCAGTCACTCATTCACTCACACGATTTCAAACATTCTCTTTTCTTCTTTTGCCTTTGCTTTTCCTCCTCTTGTTGTTGCTTCTTCGCAACTACTTTTTTATGTACATACAACTACAACCCTTTTGCTTTGCTCAACATCTCCACCTCACCTCATTCCTTTTCTTTCCAGGTATGTTAGCAGACTTCTTCTCCTCCTTCTGCATGGCTTCACTTCTAAGCTATGCCATGGAATGGGTTGTAGTAGGTCTCCCTGCCCCTGCCTTGCCTTTGCCCAATTCTTATTCTTTTCTCGCTATAAACCAACTCCTACCTACTTGCATAAGTCCAAGTGCCTATTGATGTATATATCTATGCATTTTCTACACTATTTGCATTTTGTTTTCAAAGCCGGTTGGGTTTTCTGAAAATCCAAAATCCATAAATCTCGCTCATGCAGCAGTGCGGAGCAGAGGAAAGCATGGCTTGTTCGATCGATCACGTCTCAATGGTATAAAGCAACCACTGCTTGTTCGGAGATACCCGTCTATCTTCCTCCAGAAGCATGCAGTAGCTGGGAACGAGAAAGCGAAGTCAAATTTAAAAATCTACTATACTATACTACCTTCTACTTTTTTAGGGTGTAGACTGTTATTAGCTTGATTCTGAGCTTGAGTCTCTTGAAGCGCAATCACGAGTCGCCATCGACTCATGCAGAAGAAACAGCACATCATAACTGACTTGTTTGATCAGGTGTCACCTGAAGCAACACACGCTGCTTGATGAATCTCTTCCCCACCAGTTTATCTTGCCCGAAGGCAATATGCTAAAGCATGTACACCGCTGAGGGGGTATGTCGAACCATCTGGTGAATATGTAGGGTAGACTGTCGGCTCATATATTCTATATAAACATGATCTCTTTGTCATGATCCTGAAACAACCACTTCCTGATTAGTACCCAAGTACATGTTTATCTAAGTACAAAAGCACACACAATGAGGAACATATTCAGCACTATGTCGAAGAAGACGTTATGTAGGCTGTTTGCAGTCTTGTTACAAGGTTGAATCTTTACAGGCTTCAGGAGTAAGTTTTCCATGAACATATCTTCCTTGACCACCCATCCCGCCCCACCTACACTGCTGCGGTTGGGAGACGAGGTAAGTTTGGTGCAATCAGCACACACAAGTTATGTTCTATAGACTGGGCGGCAATATATCATCCATATATAGTGAGATCCCTTTTATCCTGCAACCATATTTTACTCTTACTGGAAAGTTGATGAGGTTTGTAGAGTCTTACCTCCTTTGGTTTCCCATAGTGAGAACAAGTGTTCAACACCAGCCAGCAATGTAGTTGATCCGAGGTAGTCTAGTATATTTGAAAAGAAGCAGCAAGTCAAACATCCGAGGCAGTTAAGAAAGATCAGGTAAGCTACCAATGGACTAGAAGAACTTTCATTGTATCTGTGCTTAAATAGCCATTCGCCCTATAACATCCAACTCTCTGATCTCCACTTAATCAAACTCTTCTCAAATAGTTTAACGACCCAACCTTACAACTGCTCATGGAGCATCTTTCAAGATATGATATATATTCATCTCTATGCTTTTGCCAACTAATTGTCTGCCGTCTTAGATAGAGGAGAGGGGATGGCTGGGGTAAAATGTAGCAGAGAAGTGGTCAATGAAGCAAGCCTAGCAAAAATCCATGGAAGGAGACGAGAATCTTCTCCTTTTTGATGCCGTAGCTGTCTCCTCCAGTGAAAAGGTGGGGATAACTTTGGTAGCTGTCTATCTTTGGCGGGGTGTAATCCCTGGTGCCAGTGCTGTTTGTGACCCACTGCTTAGAATGGAATGCAGCTGAGTCCTTCTTCTATTCATCAGTTTGCTGTCTCTTTTTCCGTCGAGGAGGAGGGGAAGAGAACTATCTTCCAAGACAAACGAGAGGAGGAGAAACTCTTCAAGTGATCCAAGAGTCGCTTAAGACGAGCATATGTGATAAAACGCAGTTGTGTTTGCTTCGGTGCCACTAGCAATGCTCAAGCCCTGGGCATTCAATTTCGCAGCACTTTACCGGGAGTTGTTTGACCACTGCAAGATACCAGGCGCAACACGAGGAGATTGTGCTGCACATATCTTCTTTATTTGGCCATGGGACCTCATCCAACAAGACACACATTAACTAAGGGCAGGGCCAAGGATTGGAGGAGGTGAGAAAATTGACGGGATAGTTTCAGACATGAACGTGATGTACAACAATTTTATGTTGTGCTGTGACGAGCTGCAGTAGCTCCTGCTGATCATGTTCATATTTGAGAATAAAACATCCTCAAAGTCGTCTGCAGTATAAAGCCTACCTAAACTTTGTTCTCTGAAGGGTGCATGAGTGAGTGTTTTGTTTGATGGCTGAATATTAGGGGGCGGGATACGTTAAGACAAGAGTGTCGAAGAGACACAACATCATCGAAAGTGTGCTTGCTTGCTAGCTCTAAACCGCAGCGGCTGCAGCAAGACCAACATCATCATCACCATCAAGTACTCGGTTGTCACTTACCTCGGCTATTTGAAGCGGAAGAAGAATCACAAGTTTTGGTCTGAAGTGTTCTCCAGGGCACATGGAACTGTAGAGCTTCCGCTGCTTGTTTGGATAAGCACCTCCTCAACCTTCTCCTCTACTTTGTCCTCCTCGAGTTCCAAGTACGCTCAGAACAGCTGAACTTGTCTCGACGAAGTCGTTTCTCACGCTCGCTCAACCTTTTTCGATCGTCTTTTACCCTACATGAGATCAGCTCCAGGATCCTGATATCTTTGTGAATAAGGTCAAGAAGGCATTGGTGACTTGTGGCTGAATCCAAGAGCTATCTTGAAGAGGGACGCATCATCACACTCCTCCCTAATGTCCCCTTCTCTCAGAAGCACCTGAAAGAAAGCGATTAAGCTGATCTAAGAGCAGGGGTCAAGCAGCACTATTTTAGGGTCAAGCAACCGAGCGAGAGAGCCAGCAGCATCACTGCTAACTGCTCTCTGCTTTACAAGGGGATGAGATTGAAATCTGGTCCATGAGATTCCTCTTTTCGGCTCAAGCATCACTCCCCATAAACTTGAACTTAAGTTGTAAATGGAAACTGTGAAGATTCTCGATGGCACCCCATCAACTTGTATAAAGCTGGAGTTGTTACTCTCGTTCTTGTTCTTGTTCATTCATCTCCGTCAAGATTCTTTTGTTACCTCAATCAGCACACAAGAAGTGACCATCATTGTAGTTGCGAGGAGGTCACTCGTCAACGAGAGGTAGATTCTTTGACACACGCCATAAACATGCAAAATGATGGAGCAGTTGCAAAGTTCCTGTTTGTGTTCGTGAAAATCCCACATCCCATACAAAAAGGCATATCCGAAATTCGCTCAGGTTCGTTCCTTGTCCCGTCAACTAACTGCATCTTATCTCAACCTCATCACCTCGCATCATATCACTTCTTCATCAACAGCCCAGATTCAAAAGATGCCCCTGCACAAACGATGATGTTTTTTACAATCAAAGGTTAGTGGGACAAAGTCGAGACTCCTCCTCCTTCTCTCTCCTCTCTCTCTCTCTCTCTCTCTCTTTCCTCTTCCCTCTTCCCTCTGCGGCGCTACGGCCCTGGATGTTTCCCTCGCTAATCCCTCGAATCCCACGGTGGAGCTCGTTTCCAGAATTTCCGACCAATTTAGCCACACATGAATTTCATCCTTTTCCGTGTTTTGAGATGAGGATGAGGTAACTTGGGCAAATTTGCTTCCAAATGTGCTCCCCATTGTTCAGCACAAGTAACGAACGGCCTCCATATGGATCTTTCGATGTGCATGCGGCGCGGCTGCCAATCAATCCGAGTCAATGGAATCGACGCTGATGGAACTAGGCTTGAGTTGGATTGTGGTTGGGTCTGGGAAAGTTTTGTCGAAATCAAGGCCGACGCAACCCGACCCGACCCAAGGGCTGATCCATGATCATCGCCACTTACCGCGGGCCTTCAAATTGCGTGTCATCTTCGTCGTCTCAGCTCATCAAATCATCACATCACAGTCCAAGAAGAACATTAGCCTGAAAGGCTGATTGTTAGATACGGCATGATGATCACATGAAAGTGAGCCACGAGGAGGAAACGCTTGTTCGTACCGAATGGATCTTCTACTTTTAGTTCGACGCTTCGTTCCTTCGAGTTTAGCATTTAACAGACGAGAAGCCCAAGCTTTTCCCCGGGGTAAATTATGTGTGCGAACCGAGCGATAAAAAACACCTGATATGAGCAACGTGACACCTAATTAACAAACTGCGGATATCCAAGTTGGTTACGTGACATCATACCACTATCAAAGCGTGCCAGTTTTGCGCCCAACGTCGGCATTAATTCAATGGCCTCAATGATAAATTCGAGAAACTTGTCGTGAATAGAGACGAAAGGTTATCCACACCACCCGTCTTGGCATTGATGCTAATACCCTACCTCCCACACCCCACCACACCATACGGTTCGTCCCTCGTCCTCCTCGTCCCCGTTCATGAGCAAGGCGAACGAATTTAGGGGTCGGGGTGTCTGCTAGCCTTGACTAGGACACGCTGAATTCTTTCTTAACTTCCGGACCAAGTCGCTCTCTCCCCCATCATCGGATCGAATCGTCGTTCTGTTTCTGGCCAGAAGACGGTTGGGTCAGTGTTCCTTCTTCCGAAACTCGGCCCTTTCCTCTCGCTCGCTGCCTCCCAGCCATCTAAAGAAAGAAAGCTCAAGCATAAGCAGCAGCAGCATATGAAAATATGAAAGTAGTAATTGTGTAAGCATGAGGAAAGTGCACGACGCTGCTGTACAGCTTCCGAGGGATGGACGGACAAGACCGCCTCGGTCGAATTATTACACGGGTCCATAAAGGCCAGTGGGCCGCTCGCTCGCTCGCTCGGTCCCTCGGGGGCTGGCTCGCTCGCTGCGTTCGAAGAAACGCATGCCCTGGATTGCATCGCACTGCCACGGGCAGAGCATTTGTCTAACCCTTATCTCGCCTCCCAGAGACGTGTGTCCGCTCAGCAGCGCTCGAGAGAATCGAAGCAGAAGAAGAAAGAGAGGAAGGACGACGAGCCTGGTAAAAAATACGGTAGGTACAGTCGCAGATACTTTTCTTGCCTTCCATTCTCATACGGGCTCTGGGAGAGCCTGCGTCTGGACCTCTGGACCTCATGTCCTTCATGATAAGTATGCACGCAATACCACCTGAAAGGCATTCTACGACGCTGTTCTCCCCAACATTCCTTAAATAAAATCATTACAACTTGTGCGAGGGGAGGCGAGCAAGAGGGAGAGAGACGAGAAGGTACACTGGAGCGCCGGTGCCAGATCCGGAGGAGTAAACAAACGCGCGAGAGACAGTCGCAGACTTATTTGAGATCCATTATGGACACCACCTGAAATAAGTCGAGCGAGCGAGCGAGGCGAGAGCATGCGTACGCTGAGTCGTGACGGAGGGTGAGGTAATGTACTGAGGAGCATACGACTGCGATCCACTGCTGCGGGCGAACGTGTCAATCAAGAAGGGCTTAAAGAGGCGTACCATGGCAAAAGACACCCGGCCAGCGCTTTCCCAACCTTCTCGTACGTAGATAAAGAAGCCTTTTCGGCACCCTCCGAGTATCCGGAGCATGTGTGTTCTTGACAAAATAAGCATCGGATCAGACTGACATTCAAGCAGCTCTAAACATGCCCTACAGTACTGCTGCTGCGCATCGCTGCATGGCCAGCGCTGCTCAGTAATGTACAATGTACAACCAAGACCGCATCTCCGAGGGCCGGAGCTACGGATCGAGCGAGCGAGGGCGTGCGAGCGAGGGATACACGTCCTCCATCGCTCGTTCCTTCGTCGCGGTCGTCGTCACCTTTCCTTGCTTCTGGGACTAGTCCCACAAAGATATGCCATCTTCTTCAATTCAACGGTACTCGAAAATCTCACCGATCCGGGCGCATGCAAAGGACCGCCCGGTACAGGCGACCCAAGGCGTCTCGAGCGTCTCGAGCCAGCTTCATGAGTGTTGGTCGAGGACAAGGGGCCGTGCACTGGGCTGACCCTGACGAGCTGTAGGCTCTGCCGCGCTTCGGGTTCATCCCAGCTTTTACGCTTGCAGTACGTGGGCAGTGTCCGTATTTGCATACACCCATCCATCCATCTCGATCGATTTCTCTCTCTCCCCCAAGAGGAAAGATGTTTGCGTGTTTGGGTTCTCATGCGTGTGCAGAATTGGAAATACAGTACTTAGTTGTTCTCGTGCGGATGGCGAGGGAAGAATAACAAGTGTTCCCGAGAGAGGCCCCCCAGATGCAGACCTCGAATACGGCCTCAGGAGCATGAAGATCGGGGACTGATACAATGGCGATCTCAGATCTGGGGCAAGAAAATCGTAGAGCGCGGAATCCGTCGAGCAAGAAGGAATTGATTTAAGGCACTCGAAGTGCGCCACGCGGGTAGCCTCAAAGCGATGTTATTATATTCGCGGGCTGGCTTTTAAACGTTTTAAATGCTTCCGCTTTGGAGGGACGAGGCCCCCACGACTACACAACGAGAGCCCCACAAGAAAAGAGAGAGAGGGCGCGGAGGAAGCTCTTACTCGCTCTCTCGCTCACTCATTGGTACGGAGCCGGTACTTCTGGAATTTTATATGTTTGAAGATCGGTTGTGGGAGAAAGTCTCAACCATCGCCACCACCAACCCATGTCATGCTTGTACGAGACCAGTGCTACCTCCCTCGGATGCACGCTTCCAAGTCCTCTCTTTGAACTCAATAGCATATTGAAGAGATATGGCAGGCCACCAGCCATGCCCAAGGGTGACAATTCACTAACGGCTGTTGGGTCCACCCATGCCGAGGTGACATTACTTAGATCTCATCTAACTACTCTTGGGTCCACCACCTCCTCCTCCTTCCGAGTCGGTGCTTGAGATACCTTCCTTCAGCCCGGCCTTTGAAATCATCTGAATCACCTTGCTATACCCCGCCATGCACATGACCACAGCCCCATGTGTGCACTATGTGCATAGATGGAATCACCTCCAAGGGATCGTAATCACCATCTAAGCCTGATCCAAAACACATGACCGTGGGTGCCTGACAATTTCAACTGTTCCACACCACAGCCCTGATCATCTTTCATACACATGACATAAGTAAGCTATGTGGCCTTCGGAAACTCGGTTCAGGACCGGGGAAATTGTGTGCAGACAGGTACTCAAATCTAAGGGCTCTGGCCGGCCATACAGGGTCCTAAGTTCTGGATGCCAGAAGTTTGGAAGAGAGCACTTCGTACGCCTTATCAACAGATTGTACGAGACAGTGAGACACCACACGACCAATTGCTGACAAGCTGTGTTCAAACAGGAACCCAAGGCAAAGAATAGACTGATCAACCGAAGGGGTTGATTCCCTTGATTTGATTTATGAGAGTAAACCTCGCAGAGTTGGCAGCTCCTGACTGATTCTTGGGGACCGACATATGTACTTGAGTGCCTTTGAGGTCTGTTCAGTCCAGGTCCGTCGTGGCATAAATAGCCAATTCATCGACACAGGCATCACCATGATGAGCCAATGGACTAAAGTATTGACCAAGTGCCTTGGATAGTACAGACGTGTTTAGTGGGACACCTGTGAGAAGGGAAGATGACCTAGCCAGACAGAAGTTGTAGGGCAATTCTCTCATTTTACAACCTACAAACTGATCTAGACAGAAATGCTAGAAGGCGGAAGTCCTGATCAGGTTAAATGAACTACTGCAAGAACTCTCGTAAATTTACAGTGCCGTTCGCTTCAATAGAAGCTTATGGTATAAATAAGTCGTCTTCTGTGCTGCTTTTCAAACTGTCGAATGATCTCGTCAATTTCATCCTCCCAAGACTCAGCAGCCTCCAGCTGTAAAGAGAGTTCCAACTAAGACATAGCTTTGGAAAGATGAGCACAATCATTTCATGCAAGGAAGACTCGAAAACTAGCATGCCGTTGGCAACCGAAGTATACCATTTTTTACTGTTTTGTCCTCGGTAATATGGGTTTTAAGAAGCATATCTTAAATGCAAAGAGTTGTAACAAGCAGCCAAATGTTGGCCAAGAAAATTCCCAAACAAAAACCCCACGACCTAGCTTACACGACTCGGCATGCTCCAAACACATCTTCGTTCCAAAATTGCACGTCTTACAGAATGGTGATAGTGTGAAATATGTGATCCGGGAAAAACTCACCTTCCTGCAAAGATCAAGAACTAATTTGGCACCATTGGCAGCCTCGCCATGGCTGTCTTTCACATCCAGATTGATGACCAGGACACTCTTCATTAACCTCTGTTCACGATTCTCAAGGTCTGTGATATTACAACAACGATCACGTATCAACATTGGGAGATGAACGGTGTAGACCACTCTCCATCTCTTCATTAGACTGATCTCCACAAGCATACACTCATATCACAAATCTACGCTATGTTGTTGCGCCAGCCCTGCTTTGATTTGAGAAAAAGAGAGAAAAGTCTTCATCCAACTGCTCAACTTGTACGCACATTCACATCCATACAGAGTATCGTGCGAGGTCATAACGATAATGGTGATGATTTTATTGCTAGAGTGCCAGACTATACACGGAGGAAAGTCCTCAGGGTAATACTTCCTAGGCCGGGATATGGGCAGACCTTCAATGACCATATCAAATACTCTCTCCTCAAAGGTGAAAACCACATCAAATGCACCATCAGCTGCATTGTCTTGCCAGCGTTGTGGGGCATCCTTCACACCTAAGTTTCGCTTCAGCATCTGCAACAGGCCATTCCGCTTGTATCTACCCATTCGGTCAAGTTACAAGGCCAAAAGAGCTGGAATGTGAAGACAATACAACCAGCTTATAAAAGATATGATTCACAAAGAATACCGTGAGACGTTCACGAATGTTTTTTGTTCAGACAAAAGGAATATGCAAACGACATTCCGACCGCAGCAGTACAAAATGGTGCGGTGCCGTCATAGATATCCTTACTGATTGTACACAGCAAGATACAGTACATTTAAAACTTCTAACTGAAAAATATATTTGTTGTGACGTCTTTCTATCTAACTTGTAGCTCCCAATAATTTTGATGACGATCCACTTGCGGCTCACCTGACCTATGAAGTAGGCAGACTAAAAGTACTCTTTTGTAAGAAATGACTGTGATTATAAAGCTCAATCTTAGCTCATAATGGGCAAGATAATTCAACATATCACCATAAGTTTCCGCGAATCGAAGATAAGTTGACAAGAAGAACCTGCACATCGTGCTTTCGGCGTAAGGCTTCAAAACTACAGTATGCAAGGGAGACGTGGAAGCATTAGAGACTCAACAAATTGTTACCAATAGGTAAAAAGGGGAGCACTGGTAGTACAGAGTCTTTGCGACGATACCGACGACCCACATCTGCTTATGATTAGGTACATTAAACAACACGGCAAGTTGCCAGCAGATTGCCCGACAACCAGACCCTTGCATAATTACATCACACAAATAAAATGAGACAAGACTACTGCTCTCGATATTTCTGTACAATATTTTTTTGTTACTCGAAGATGAGGATCGAACTTTTATACAGACTCGTTGTTTGAACATGAATGAAAAAGAAAATGGACGTCAACAAACAGGCAATGATCGCCAGTTTTACTTCTCAATCAATATATGAAAACCTTGAACACTCTAATTTAGCAATAAAAATTGATGCAAGATAAATGACCGTCAGCACAGTCAACAAATTGAATCAAGCAACCGCTGGACAAAATATTAACAGTCAGAAAAAATGCTACAGATACTCCAAATCGACAAAAGAATCTGACAAACAAATTAGAGGTAGCTTGACAACCATTACAATAGGTGTACACAATTTTTGAATAATAGCAGAAATATGAAATAGTACAACGAGTAAGAAGTTCATTTGAACTCAAGTACCCAGAGCCTTCATCTAGTACCTTTCCCTTAAAAATCTCGACAGCAAAACTGAACGAAATGATTCATATCACCATAAGGCTAAAAGTCGTTTACTTGGAATAGATATATGTAAGTTTACTAACTTTTGTCAGATTCCAGCAAACTTTAATTTAGACATACTACCTTCCCATCGAGGACTTTAGAATCTGAGTGGTAGAAACAAAAGACATATGTCAGGATGTGCTTAAACACTCAATGACGATAGTTAAAGTGAGATTTTTAGTAACAAAGAGTATTCATGTAGCCTATTCCCTCTTTCAATTTAAGTGATAAGGTATATACATTTCTCATACAGTCTACGGTAGAAATCATGACCAAATAAGAAAGATTTAAAATTGTCATCTCATTAAGTTCATACATTCAGAACAACCAATTTGAACTTCAAAGAGAGTCACAATTTTCATTCATATCGTAGAATGAAAAGTAGCTTAACAATCAAAGAGAGAAACCATGCAGTATGAAAACACACAATTTGAACTTCAAAACAACGACACTGTTCAATTTCTTTCTTTTGTCGTAAAAAGCATATTTATTTATTATCATAGAGTAGATCGAATCTACTCTATGAGAATCAGATTTTATACTTTCACAAAAAGCAAACTGCACTCAGATTAACTTACCAGTTGCTTACAAAACAATATAGTTAACAGAGGACAAGGGGATGTAATGAACAGGTTCTAGCAGGTATGAAAAGCGAACAGCTTTGAGAACATCCTTACATTAAGGGAAAGCAGGTGGTTAATTAAATAACTCTTGACAGTCTTTGTGGAGACTTCTCCAATTAACCAGTGAGAGAGAAACATAGTATCGTACTACCTTCACACACGACCACCCTAGAACGTACATCACCGTTTGACTCTCTGAGTACCAGGAGGCGATATAGCCTAAAATGGTATATCCTGAAGACGTCCCAATTACAAATGTTAGGAGCAGATATCTCAAAGCAATTTCAAAGTGTACATGTGATACCAGTACAGTAAAATACCCTCCGTTGTGAACCTAATAGTTTAACACTTCACAGCTTGCTCACATGAAGTGACCAAGCTACATTTTGAATTTAAAATATGTAATTATGCAAGTTAGAGTTCATTACTGCGAGTTATCACTGTAGTAGCTAAAAGTTGTAAAGATACGACGCTATCTCCCACTTGATAATGAAACATATTATTATGCCCGACTTTACCATATTGTATGAGAATTGTGTTATGTGAAAGGAACTGTAAAGATGGATGATTCCACAAAGCAAAATCCAGAACAAACTGTAATTCTGGATGGCAAAAAGCGACATGCATACATCTAAAAGAATCATTATCCATGAACGTAACATAAACCTAGAATATGATACATAGGTTTAGATTAAAGCTAATAATCAGGTGATATGTGACCGTTTCTGAATACGCGAGAAATCCACACGTAAATCGAATGGATTTTATAAATAAGATATCAACACAAAAGAATGCTCCCTAGGAGCCAAACCAGGACACGAGAAATGCCCATCTCAACCTGCGAAAAACCACCCATCCATGTCCAAGGTGATCAACCTACCAACATAAAGCTATACAATTGGAGGAGTACAATTGCTAATTCGAAACAATCAACTCAGATATGACAAAAAAAGAACTTACATACCCTTAAATAACACAATAGCGATTAAATCCATCATAAGTGGATTCATTCAGTGTCACTATCCAATTAGACATGGTAACAACAACGGATGCAAAACAGAAAATAGCACCAAGGATAGGAATAAAAATTTATGAAAAATTCGTGACATAAGTTTCGTGCATCACTTTGCATGTCGAAGATGAACTGTGATTCAACATGCTTTAGAGACTAAAGAAGGTGAGCAATACAGGAATCGTTCACCGGTCATGATTTCTCTTCAGTTGGTGTTATACAAAAAAAACCAGCTTGTCCAAAGATTGTACATCTCAAATATTCTCTAGACCTCTCTTTGACCACGTCATGTTCTGCGGTCGCTGCAAGGTAATCCTTGCGCATGTTAAGCATATTAAACTATGTCATCCTGTCTACTCCAATCATAATCTGAAAGAAGAGTACGTAGACGTGAGTTTATCCAGAAGGTGGAACGAGAACTTCTAAATTTTGTCTGAAAAGCAAATATGAAATCAGAACGCATGAAAGCCAACAGATAGATACACGAGAAATTTCTATGGTAAGTATCTGATAAGCACTCGCAGGTGGCACACAGCAGATTATCCTTGAAAATCACGCCAAGAGTTAACACTGATTTGAAAACAATTCGCCTCACTTTGGTAAAGGTACTGAACACAGCAGAAGAAGACCTCCGTCGTCATTTTTAGAAAATCTGCGTGACTATTTTTTAGATATGTGTACAGAATAGACACCCATTGCCCCAAACCGCAAGGGTCCCAGTAATGTAAAGAAAGGGATTAAGAATTGGGAGGATCGGACCATTACCGCTATGCCGACAAAGGTAGAACTCACAAAATCGTATACACAGAGCATGTCTTCAGAGCAACTTTCCACAATGACAGAACACATCGATCAAACCACAATATTTTGAAGGATACAATTCGGGATCCTTTCGTTTCAGATCGTCGAACATGAGCCGGTAAGGAGTGCCAAACGTGTACACATTGGGCTCTCGTATGGACGGGCCAGGCAACTTGACATGAGCACCGGTGCCATACGAACTGACATCCAAACCCTGCTTCTGCAACAAAGAGTGAGCTTCCATGCTTCTATTTTGATTACTGGCACAAACCATTGCATGCCTCAGCCTCATCCTCTCCACAGCTGCTTCTGCAGACTGCAGTGTCATACACGACCCCGCAGAGCTAAAATGCAGAGAACAATTTTCCTTCACTTCACTCTGCTTCAAACCCTATAATTTCATCAGGGCTCGTCAGCTGCCATCCTGTGCAACATATTTCTCCCATCGTCTCTTCACCAAATTGATCAAACCCACCGCCTTCTCCTTCACCTCCGGCCCGCACCTCCCTCCTCTGCGTTCTTAAAAATTCGCTAGACCGTCCGACGCGAAATCATTGGGGGATGCCCGCAAGAACCCCACGTAGGCTTCATCGGAATTGAATATTCCACCTTTGCTTCTTCTGTTTGCCAGTCTCTCTCGGACTGGAATCGAGAAACACTTTCCTCTACCAGTGAGTCAGTGGTCCTAGGCTCCTCCTCGTCCCAGATCGACACACTGACTCCTCCTTTGTTTATTCCTGGGCCTCGTACGGCTTTGGGCCGCACCGTTTTCACTTGCCCCACTTTGTTTTCATCCGAGGTTTCAAGGGCACCGCTAAGGGTTGTGTCTAAATTTGTTCCCGCTCCGAGCCTGAATAAGTTCATTCCGCTCTTATTCTTCTTTTCTCCCTCCGCACCAATGGGAGCTCTGCCAATGCATTTAGACATCTCACTTACTCGCACTTACTCGCCCCTCTAATCTCTCTCTCTAACCTTGTTATGAAGTACTAGTAGGTTAACAGATTTTTCTAATAATTCAGACCATGTGTTCATTCTGAATACGTTATGTTGTACATCCAAGCAGAAATCAAAACGTTTGTATAAACGGTAGGCACACGAGGTAACAGAAGCATTTATATCATTTCTTGTATTTGTGAATTCATTCCCATGTATGTTACTTGGTTTGTACACTTAACATGTACATTCCCTTGGTTTCAGAATAATAGTTAAATGATTGTGGCAAACAAGTTTTATTTTGTAACAAAGAAAAATAAACTTTATGTGAGTTTTTTGCAAATTTCATAAATCAGTTGTAAATCATTGCCAAATCAGCAAAGAACACAAGATTTGAAAGAAAAAAAATCTTGTCTCTCTATCACAAGTTTCAAAACTTCCATTTTTTTAAAACATAACCAGTCATATCTATATTCCAAGATATCCACACATTATTACAAAATTTAAATTTCATATCTACTCACATGTTCAAACTCATTCAATTTTAATCATAAATTATTCAAAATTTTAATAAAAGCATATAATTGTTTAATTATTTATTTCTTTATTTATTAAACATTTTTATATGTAAAATAAAATAACTGTTAAATAAAAAATCACATATGATTCAATTAAAGAAGATTGAATATATCATTGATAATCTAGAAAAATGAAAACATATGTAAAGCAGCAAAGGATTCGCATAATGATACTTAAAAAGTAATGTGTATGTCTTTTTAAGATGAAAAAATGAAGTCCATGTTTTATGGTTACTAACACACTATATCTGAATATAGCGTGTTAGTAACAATAAAACATGAATCATGAACTTATATCTGAATATAAGTTCATGATTCAAGAATATCCTGAAGATTTACATAACTTTTGGTGCATAATTTAAATTTTATACTGTCAAAATGGAAAATGTTCCACCTTTTATGCTAATGTTATGTTCTAAATATGTGGTAAAAACTATGAATTTCAGTTATAGATTAATTACCTCTCATATTCGGATCCAATTTTCATTGCAGCTTATATGGTAAATATATTTAACAGAAGAACTGAATAAAGAAAAATACTTTCCTTCACTTAAAGTTACAAAATTGTAAAAAATACAATTTTTACGCATGAAATATAAACCTTATGTCATCCTCTACAAGTCCAAAGATACACGTTGTAACAACTTCCTTGCTAAGTCAGGAGATCAAAGCAATTCAGCCTACGGCCTCACTCAACTCTTAAAGCTAACAGTCAAGCATTGATTGCAACATGTGTACATGAATAGAAAAAATCATTTTTAGTCATTTTTATATTATGTGAGATTAGAAAAAACAAATCGAGGATGTATATTGTTCTACCGCACACATTGTTTCATGAGATTTAGAGCATTGAACCCATGTAACTTGCTAGCATATATCAATCCATTCTACAAACTCGAGGAAAATAAGATTACTTATGTGCTTGTCTTTACTTACTTATAGCCTATACAATGCCCTGATGGACATTGCTGACAAGAATTACTTTAATCTATAGAACCTACAAGAGTAATCTACTATGCAAGGTGCGTACGAAATATGGACTGAAGATGATAGAACACAAATGAAACTAGAGATTGTTATATTGTTTTGACTAGATGGTAAAGTCGATTGTTCGCTGCATGCAGAGCACAACGCTAGCTTGAAGGCTGAAAGAGACAGAAAAGTGTTATTGAATTACAACGTCTTACCAATTAGTCATTTTATTGAACACACAATGTTAGGGTAGAGGGTATAAGACCTTCAGAGCAGATTGTTGATTCCATTCTATCTATTTTGGCTATAAATGAGTATAACAGTCAAATTCGTGGATTTTGATGATTAATACTATGACAAACGCATACAAAAATTCTCCGTTCATTCCTCGAAGTCTTGTGATCGTCTGTTTTTTGGCAAAAATTTTGCTACAAATTTGCATCGAATTTAAGTTTCAAGATACATAGATATCAACACCTGACAGGCTGTCAACTGTTGAAAGTACCAGAAAGAAAACATACCATTGAAAAAAGCATGATTATACATAAAGATCTGATGATCAATACTTTAGTGCATCTAAATAAACTTTAAACTCCTTGATATCGAGCTTTTGATTTGGCTCGGTATAACATATGAGAGACTGGCACCTGGTTGATGTTGTTACAAGGCAGAAAAGAACAAAGCAATCCAACCAATTTGTACTAAGCCGATCTTAGCATGTTTTGAGCATTCAAACATCGAGCTTGAGAACAAACTGAATAACTGAGACAAAATCCAACATCTTCGAATGCAACGCTTGGATATGTAACTGCTGTCTGCAACGATCATGGTTGCTGCAGATGAGCCCTAGTAAATTAGAGGCATGAGCAATTGCAGGGCTATATGTAGCTAAATGTTGAAGCTAAATTACTGTCGACTTGTGTTTCAAACCGTCAGATGCTTTAACCTTGTGCCCAACTTTCTGATGTGATAATAGCATGCCACCTTTCAGTTGATTATGATAATGTGGGCGATGATGCTTCTTGTCACATGAAGCAGCAACAAAGCTAAGGTGCTGATTCTGTTCATCCATTGGTGCTGGCAGCAGCACGGGATTCATAGTCCCTCCTGTTGACGCTGGATCCAAAGAAGGCACTTACTTTTGTGAAGCAAATTTGTACCATATGGTGAAACTCGGTCCGTACGTTATAGTTCGTTGAGTTGAAACTGGCTCTAGGGAGACAATCGTGAAAGGATCGTGATAATCTTGCCTATTTAGAAATAGTTACATGTGTTTTTGTTGGATGATGGTATGATCTATTTTGCAAAGTTTCCAAATTTTATATCTGATACACTTTAGTCTCATCTAAAATTAGGCCCCCATATCCTCTAATTACATACACAAAAACATATGTTAATGAAAAACTATAATATTTATCACATATTTATTTATTTTGAAATGTTTTTAATTCAATTAAAATTTTTTTTATCAAACAGAAGTAAATTGTAATTGTAATCATCTTCAAAAAGATATTATCATAGGTTTCCTGTCGTCAATCTCTAGTATGAACTTATCTTCAAATAGAGTTTCATAATGAGTGATTTATTTCGTCAAGACGGGTCTTCCATTCAAAAGATACATTGCGTTCAAACCCATCAATCTTTTGAAAATGTTCATGTATTTATGGCATAATTGTACAAAATTTTGCATATATGATAAGCAAACTGAATCGGAGAATAACTTCCTTATCGGTTTGGGGAAAAAATGTAAAGAAAGAGATCACAAATAATTCCATAGTTTTGAAAGATCTACTTGAATGCTCCATGGATATTTCCAAAATACAAATATAATAATTTCATTGAATTATGAAAGTTAAAATGTAGCAAAATTAAAAGTAAATGAACAAAACTTCAAAATAAGTAACAAACAAATAATCACATGATGATAGCATTAAATTTGCGTAAATGATTAGATAGTTACTTATTTTATTATCAGTATATCTAAAAAAGATAATTGAGATGTAAAGTAATTTGGGCTGTATTTTTAAACATGGAACTAATTCATGTCAAATAATTTGTTGTTGACACTGTTTCACATTTTGAAATCTTCTTACATGTGAACTTCACTTCAATAGAATCAAGACGTGTGCACACATTGCTAATTTTTACTATATGATATTATTAATGGTCATGTAGTACATGACCTATTTCCTCTACCAACATATCATGCTATGAATCTTTGAAAGCAAGAATATGTCAAATTAATAACCTAGTTAACAAGAAAAGTAGAACTAAATGTACACATTGTGTTGAAAAGGACTTTTAAACGTGCTAGCTGATCAATAAGTACACGGATAGCAGACCAATATTCAAAATTACCTTATGTATCACAAAAAATGTATTATTATTATTATTATAACTAATTTAAACTACAATTTATTCTTATTATGTTGACAAAAAAATATAAAAATTTGAGTTTGAAAACCAAAATAATACTGTACAGAATGTGAATGGAAAAAATATCTCTTATAGTAAAATGACATTGATTCACATCAACTAGTTGAAAATTAAATTAAATTCTAAAGAGACAAAAATAAAATGTTTTTCATTTGGATACTTTTATTTCATTATCAAACTAACATCTTCATAATCTACTTTCATCTTGATATCAGTTTGACAAATATGAGGTTGTAGAGATTTCACTTCGAACACAATTGCAGATTGTGTTAAACACTCAGATTTATTTAGCAATCTTTATGATTATGTATGTATGCATATTGCTTTCTTGCAGGCTTGCGATGAATTAATTTATTTTTGTCAAATAACATGATGTTATGGTTTGTCGTAGACATGAAAATACAATTATCTCTATACATAATATCCACGCTAACAATTCTATCATATGTGATCAGACTTTTCTTTCAAATACAATTATATATTGTTATAAATTCACTGAACAAAAACATGTAATTTAAAAACATGTTTATGTTTTAAAATTATATAATATTCAAAATTTTCAAATACATAATAGAAAAATAAAAAATATAATCAAAGATAAATTTCAACATAAGTTAATTATAATAACAATATCTATCAAGCCTTCAATTTCAATACATACAATATTTAGATGTCATAAAATTTAATACAATATTGCAAACTACAAAGGAAAAACTT